GGGAGTCTGGCTCCCTCCCAGACCATCCCGGGGAGTCTGGCTCCCTCCCAGACCATCCCTGGGAGTCTGGCTCCCTCCCAGACCATCCCGGGGAGTCTGGCTCCCTCTCAGACCATCCTGGGGAGTCTGGCTCAGTCCCAGACCATCCTGGGGAGTCTGGCTCCCTCTCAGACCATCCTGGGGAGTCTGGCTCCCTCCCAGATCATCCTGGGGAGTCTGGCTCCCTCTCAGACCATCCTGGGGAGTCTGGCTCCCTCCCAGACCATCCTGGGTCACTAATATATTTAACCCATCTTGTGTGACGGACTATGACAGGATAACCCAGCGAAGGCTTCCACTATGTGACTATTGGATGACAGTAGCAGCATACCGTTTGCCCTCTTCCAACTCTTAAATAAACCAGCCAAGATTACCGCCGTCTTGAAGATTGTAGACAATTCATTACCATTGTAACTTGGTCATGATTGTGACCAGATCTACCTGGAGTTCATTACCTTTGTAACTTGTTCAGCTATCAGAACTCTGGGGTACAGTCCCTGGACCTATTATAAACCTTTGTAATCCTTGGACTTACGCCCACAGGATGGGTATGGAGTGCATAATAAACGTATAAAAGTTACTCCCAGCCCACGTAGAGAGGAGTCTGGCTTCATTTAAGACCACATACTCTTTCCACTCTTTTTCCCTAGCTCCTGGTCCATCTAAGGAGGGTCTGACTCCGCTTATCACTACACATCGTCTCCAGGGGCTGCCTGAGGACATTCACTACAACTGCATTAGGGGAAACATTGAGTTTCCTACCTGGCGCTAGTGTTCCAAGGGAATGTATATATACAACGAGGTTATATTGAAGGGAAATATGAGAGGCTCAGGATGGGGTGGTCGAATCCATTTGTGTTATTGGTGTTTGTTTTCCCTTCGTCTCACAAACACACAAGCATACCAACACGTAAATATACAATCATACACAACTATGCAAACATACGAACATGCATAGAAATAAACAAAATACAGACGTACAAACAAACAAATATACAACCATACAGGAAAAAACAAGTGTCGTGCATGTTGCGCGACAATGTTTATATAATACATACTCTATGTAAAAATAAACACACACACACACACACACACACATATTACTGCGCTGTGTGTGTGTGTGTCGTCAGCAAGGTGACTCCAAGGACACATCTCAAGATGTCAGAACACACCCACTCACAAACGTTACTCTTTCTCTATTTCTCTATCTCACCTCTCTCATTCCCTCAACCCTTCTTACTTTCACTATGTACGAAGAGCAGTAATTATACGCTGTAGTGTGAATGAGGGAGGGGAAAATGTAACGTTTTCCCCTTATATATTGATCGCAGAAGCTGCATGCTCCCTTACACACTCGTGTGTGCGCGTGTGTGTACTCACCTGGTTGTGGTTGCAGGGGTCGAGTCATAGCTCCTGACCCCGCCTCTTCAACTGGCCGCTACTCACTCTTCCTGCTCCGTGAGCTTTATCATACCTCTTCTTAAAGCTATGTATGCATTCTGCCTCCACTATATCACTATCCAGGCTGTTCCACTTCCTGACAACTCTGTGACTGAAGAAATACTTCCTAACATCCCTGTTTGGAAATATTTCTTCAGTGTGTGTGTGTGTGTGTGTGTGTACTCACCTAGTTGTACTCACCTAGTTGAGGTTGCGGGGGTCGAGTCCGAGCTCCTGGCCCCGCCTCTTCACTGATCGCTACTAGGTCACTCTCCCTGAGCCGTGAGCTTTATCATACCTCTGCTTAAAGCTATGTATGGATCCTGCCTCCACTACATCGCTTCCCAAACTATTCCACTTACTGACTACTCTGTGGCTGAAGAAATACTTCCTAACATCCCTGTGATTCATCTGTGTCTTCAGCTTCCAACTGTGTCCCCTTGTTACTGTGTCCAATCTCTGGAACATCCTGTCTTTGTCCACCTTGTCAATTCCTCTCAGTATTTTGTATGTCGTTATCATGTCCCCCCCTATCTCTCCTGTCCTCCAGTGTCGTCAGGTTGATTTCCCTTAACCTCTCCTCGTAGGACATACCTCTTAGCTCTGGGACTAGTCTTGTTGCAAACCTTTGCACTTTCTCTAGTTTCTTCACGTGCTTGGCTAGGTGTGTGTGTGTGTTATCAGCTAGCCAACATATCTGAAGGTTATAAGCATAACCAAAATTTTTAAAGGGGTGGAGGGGTAAGCCAGTGGAAGGCCTCGGTCAGATGACCAACAGCTCCAGCTGCGGGTCACCATATTACTAAGACCATCGTCAGGAAACACTTGTCCTGTTTCCTGACAAACGTAACCCAACCTAACCTAACCAGTTAGCCTGTGTGTGTGTGTGTTTGTGTGTGCAAATTCTGGCATCATACTAATGGAATAATCCGGGTTGTTGCCTTAGTGATGAAGGCGGGGGGGAGGGGGGAGGGGGAGGGGGAGAGGGGAGGGTGTGTGTTGACTAATTTTAACGTGGTTGAATGATGCTGATAACGTCACCATCCCACTATCCTACACTAGGAAAATCTACTCTACGCTCAGTCTTCCAGCCGATCTTCCAGGAGAATGTGCGAGTGTTAACTAACCTCTACATGACTTTATAAACCTTACACACACAAATACACACACACACACACACACACACACACACACACACACACACACACACACACACACACACACACACACAGAGTGGGGGGGATGCTGTATATCACTAAACCATAAATATCCTTCAGGTTAATTTTTTTCTCTACTTTTACGACCATCTTGCATGACATTAGAAGGAGTCTGGGGTTTCCTGGCTAGGCTCCAGCTTGATATGTGAGCACTTGACGAGTGCCACACCTGTCATATGCCAAAGTGGCCCTCCTGCCTTTATATATGTCTGAAACACTTCTGTTATATGGGTCAGGTTAACTGTCTTTTTACTACAGACATTCATTCATATTCTGTCACTCTGTGGATCAAGTTGACAGTGTATTGGCAGCTAAGGTCACAGATGGCGCTGTTCAGAACGGTAGTTTAATATCTTTATTATGCACCCCATACCCATCCTGTGGGCGGTAGTCAAAAGATTACAAAGGTACATAATGGGTCCAGAGACTGGACCCCAAAGTTATGATAGCTGAACTAGTTACAAAGGTAATGAACTCCAGGTAGATCTGGTCACAATCATGGCAAGTTACAGAGGTAATGAATCAGTTCAGAACGTTATTTGTATTATGATGTACGAACATTTCTGGCAAGAGTGTTATTGAATAAGTTAAAGTGTGTCAGGAAACAGGATAAGTGTTTCCTAACACGGGTCTTGGTCATGACCCGCAGCTGGAGTTTTTTGGCCATCTGACCGAGGCCTTTCGCTGGCTTACCCATCCACCCCTTTAAATATCATGGTTATGTTTTTTAACCATTAAACACTCATGTTTGAATTTACATACGGATATCTAGGAGCAGAACAGAGGATAGTACATTCTAATCTAACTTTTGTTTTCAATTGTTTTGAGACTGAGTCCCTTACCCTATTTATTGGTTCCCATACCCTTTGGGGTATGAGGTTACCTGGAGGTTACCTGGAGGTTATTCCAGGGATCAACGCCCCCGCGGCCCGGTCCATGACCAGGCCTCCCGATGGATCAGGGCCTGATCAACTAGGCTGTTACTGCTGGCCGCACGCAGGTAAGGGGTATACGAGGGTTATTTGTGTATTGTTCTAGTTACGGTAATGTGCCTTTCTGTTCTACATAAATACGTCATTTTAAGCACGTAACAACACACAAGATTTATGTCGCCACCCATGATCAATGTCAGCAGCTGTCTCCAGACTCCTCCCACCTCACCACAACATTAAGCACTAACATCTAGAAGACACTTTAGTGACTCGCGCAATTTGGACTCCATTCCCAAGATAATGGAACTAATGGCTGGCCAGCCAAGCGGAATGTTACCCGAGGAGCTGATTCACTCGACATTTTTCACATGGATGCGAATCCAGTGCCTGGGCTAAAAAATAAATAAATAGGACTTGGACGAAATAGATTTTCCAGGCTGTGGGATTTGACTGGCGTCTGGAAGGACGGTGGCACAGCTGGATTCCTGAAGGACAAGTTGCAATATCTGTACCATAATTCACAGTCCATCAAGGAAACTTAATGAGTTGTGGTTTGTTAGGTGGTCCAGGGGATTGGAATGGTCACAATGTTACTTCCATTTTGGGGTTATTCTAGGTAATTTACACAATGTATGATAATTATACTTGTGTACCTGTGCCTAAATTGCTTAATCGTCGTGCCTTAGGCCGTCGTTATCCCCAGGTAGGTTGAAGAACGAAACACTAATTGGGAATCTTTAATGATAAAACGTTTCGCCAGTCAGTGGCTTTTTCAATCCAATACAGAACAGAACTGAAGACTGAAGCAGCCGCTGGCTGGTGAGACGTTTCCTCGGTAAAGATCCCCAAAAATGCTAAGTAAAAGGACAGAAATACAACTAATGTGACATTTTATTGTGGCAACGTTTCTCTCTCCAAGAGCGAAACGTTGCCACAATAAAATGTCACACTAGTCCTTCCCCAAAAATGGCACGTGTCTCAGTATTCAACCAGTAGGTTTTCTAAGCCATTTACGTCACCCACGTAAGTTCTTAAAGCTGCCTAGATAACTTTACACACTGCCCCATTGCTACGTCACCTGACGTTCCCAAATACACGCTAAAACACTTGATACACCAAAATATACCAAGGGACTTAAAAAAACATTTATTCAGCTTGTAACTAGTATTTGAGGGTAATGAATGAGGGAAATGCAAGAGAAAGAATAATTTGAAGAACAGAGGGGAAACACAAGGAAAGGAAATACTTGAGGTAATCCATGCAAATAAATGTATATAATTGAAATGGGGGAATAGTAATATATATACACACACATATATATATATATATATATAATTATATAAGAAACATATATTCTTATTTCATTACTTACATTAAATTGTGTGTAGTTGCCACCTTATAGACGTTGATTCGAGCTAGATGACACCTACAGGGGTTGAAGTGTGTGTGGGTGCCACCTGGCAGACGTTGGTTCGAGTCGTACGACATCTTCACACAATAGGTGCTGAGTCCCTATTAGAATAATAAAATGGGAATTAGCAGATTATATTATATGTGGGAATTATACTATAAAATAATTCAAATATAACTATGAAAATTGATATTTTAAATTATAATAAATAATAAAATTTAAATAAATATTTTAATATTGCATGTGTAAGTTTCCTTAGAATTTACATAAATAAAAAAAAATTAAATTCCAACCTGTTTTGGTAGGAATTTAGAATTTTTCCCCTTAGTATTTATTTGATGCTTAATATTATGAAAAAAAAATTGAGTTGGGTGTAGCAAGAGTGATGTACCCTGGAGGCTGCCAGCACCTCCAGTAGTGTCCACACAATCATATGCTTGCAATATTCAATATTCAATATTTATTCACTCGTTGCGTGATACTCACGGGCTCTATGGCAGCTCTCCAAGACCCTCGTCTATTCATCCATCTCAAGCTCTCTCTCTCTCTCTCTCTCTCTCTCTCTCTCCTCTCTCTCTCTCTCTCTCTCAAAATTCAATATTCACACTACGTTGTTAAAATTGTTCAATCCTTATACTCTCAGCAATAATACTGCATAAAACACTACGAAAATAACTTTGTTTATAATTCCAGAGTCCTATAATGTTCCATACTGGTTGGCTGGGCTGGGTAATGGGGTTTAAATCCTACTACACTCAAGGTAACATGTGACTTACCACTACTAGCCGAGCATACTTTAAAACCTAAAGAATTAAAGCAAACTCAGCTTATACACACAGAAACATACTCCTCTCGGTGTATATAGCCTGTGGATCAATACTAGGCCCTGTGGATCAATGTTAGGCCCATTGATTTTTGAGTAGGCCTGCACGGGTGTCCTCAGTATGTCTACACTATCATCACTGATAACAAATTGGTTGTCTCCCGACAGAAGGACTACTGTACAGTACTATAAACAAACAGGTCTTTAGAATGCACCTACAGATGCATTACACAACTCGTTTATCATCAATAAACCAGATCTTCAACTCATTAAAATATCTTCGATGATCTTCAACAGAAAACGAATTTGGTGCCAGACGACCACGTTTTCTATGCGTGTCACAGACATTCGAGGGTAAATTATTATATTCTTGCCTTGTTCATCGTCCTGTTGCTATGCTGAGGAGTACATAGTCTACTGCTGGTAGGTAATTTACACTATGTATGATAATTGTACTTACGTGTAACTGTACTTAAATAAACTTATTAGTTATGCTCTTTCTACGCTGGTCTACAGCTATTGACTATGTATATATAATTAGTAATAACTTAGATAAAAGTATTCTTATCTGGTGGAGAACAGGTTAAACGCAGTCTTAATAACCTTGGCGTGGCTGGTAAGCTTTAAACCAGATAAATAATCTTACTCCTGATTAATTACACGTATGTCATACCTAATTATTCCCAAGTTTAATTTTTTGGTTGCATAAGTGTCTAGTATATCTAGGGACGATCCTCTGTTGTAATGGAAGGTGCTCCGGGGTCAACGCCCCCGCGGCCCGGTCCATGACCAGGCCAGAGCCTGGTGAAATAGGATGTAAACAGCTTTTTACTAAAAAAGGGGTAACTCCAATTCTTTAAATCAAGAGTCCTACACCAGCATTCATGTTATCTTCCTTTGGGAGACAGTAACTTTTGGGAAGTTACTATACGTGACAGCAGACACGTGTGTCTGGAGCCAGGCATGACAGAAGACACGTACCTGGAGCCAGACTGTCTGGAGTCAGATGTGAGAGAAGACACGTGCCTGGAGCCAGACATGAGAGAAGACGTGTGTCTGGATCCAGCCATGACAGAAGACACACATATCAGTAAATATATATATGTACTTAACGGGATACAAAACAGACATTTCACACACAAAACACTAATATATATATATATTATATATAAAATATATATATATATATATATATATATATAATATATATATATTATATTATATATTATATTTATTTAATAAATGTATGGAAGAGGGTAAGGTACCTAGGGATTGGCAGAGAGCATGCATAGTTCCTTTGTATAAAGGCAAAGGGGATAAAAGAAAGTGCAAAAATTATAGGGGGATAAGTCTGTTGAGTGTACCTGGTAAAGTGTATGGTAGAGTTATAATTGAAAGAATTAAGAGTAAGACGGAGAATAGGATAGCAGATGAACAAGGAGGCTTTAGGAAAGGTAGGGGGTGTGTGGACCAGGTGTTTACAGTGAAACATATAAGTGAACAGTATTTAGATAAGGCTAAAGAGGTCTTTGTGGCATTTATGGATTTGGAAAAGGCGTATGACAGGGTGGATAGGGGGGCATGTGGCAGATGTTGCAAGTGTATGGTGTAGGAGGTAGGTACTGAAAGCAGTGAAGAGTTTTTACGAGGATAGTGAGGCTCAAGTTAGAGTATGTAGGAAAGAGGGAAATTTTTTTCCCAGTAAAAGTAGGCCTTAGACAAGGATGTGTGATGTCACCGTGGTTGTTTAATATATTTATAGATGGGGTTGTAAGAGAAGTAAATGCGAGGGTCTTGGCAAGAGGCGTGGAGTTAAAAGATAAAGAATCATACACAAAGTGGGAGTTGTCACAGCTGCTCTTTGCTGATGACACTGTGCTCTTGGGAGATTCTGAAGAGAAGTTGCAGAGATTGGTGGATGAATTTGGTAGGGTGTGCAAAAGAAGAAAATTAAAGGTGAATACAGGAAAGAGTAAGGTTATGAGGATAACAAAAAGATTAGGTGATGAAAGATTGAATATCAGATTGGAGGGAGAGAGTATGGAGGAGGTGAACGTATTCAGATATTTGGGAGTGGACGTGTCAGCGGATGGGTCTATGAAAGATGAGGTGAATCATAGAATTGATGAGGGAAAAAGAGTGAGTGGTGCACTTAGGAGTCTGTGGAGACAAAGAACTTTGTCCTTGGAGGCAAAGAGGGGAATGTATGAGAGTATAGTTTTACCACGCTCTTATATGGGTGTGAAGCGTGGGTGATGAATGTTGCAGCAAGGAGAAGGCTGGAGGCAGTGGAGATGTCATGTCTGAGGGCAATGTGTGGTGTGAATATAATGCAGAGAATTCGTAGTTTGGAAGTTAGGAGGAGGTGCGGGATTACCAAAACTGTTGTCCAGAGGGCTGAGGAAGGGTTGTTGAGGTGGTTCGGACATGTAGAGAGAATGGAGCGAAACAGAATGACTTCAAGAGTGTATCAGTCTGTAGTGGAAGGAAGGCGGGGTAGGGGTCGGCCTAGGAAGGGTTTGGAGGGAGGGGGTAAAGGAGGTTTTGTGTGCGAGGGCTTGGACTTCCAGCAGGGATGCGTGAGCGTGTTTGATAGGAGTGAATGGAGACAAATGGTTTTTAATACTTGACGTGCTGTTGGAGTGTGAGCAAAGTAACATTTATGAAGGGATTCAGGGAAACCGGCAGGCCGGACTTGAGTCCCGGAGATGGAAGTACAGTGCCTGCACTCTGAAGGAGGGGTGTTAATGTTGCAGTTCAAAAACTGTAGTGTAAAGCACCCTTCTGGCAAGACAGTGATGGAGTGAATGATGGTGAAAGTTTTTCTTTTTCGGGCCACCCTGCCTTGGTGGGAATCGGCCGGTGTGATAATAAAAATAAAAAAAAAAAAATATATATATATATATATATATATTATATATATATATATATATGAGTGTGTCTACACCACCACAGAGTATATATACTTAGGGGTGTATGTCTATCAGTGTATGTACACCGAAAGTATGCTTCAATGCCTTTAATTGGGATTTAAATATTCTTGATTAGTGGTGTACAGGTGACATGGAGCCTTAATGACCCTCGTGTAGTAGACAGAGTGTAAACCCTATTAACCATCCCACAAGGAGTCAGAGAAAGTGTGATTCACATAAAGTTATTTACCGTACTTGCTCTGAGCTCCAGCTCTTGGGCCGGGTTCTAAATATTCAGCTTATGAGCGCAGGAGTCACTACATACACCCTGCAACTGCGCTGTGGGCCACTGTCTGCCTTGTTTACCTACGTCACCTCATTGATCAGCTGCCGTCATGACATCACCCATGACGCAATCGAGACGTCAGAAGTACCAACGTTAGCGAATGACCTTGAGTTCGACCCCAAGCGTATTGCGTGGGCGTAGATGCTTTATGGGTGGACAAGGGGATTTATTACACCAGAGAGAAGGGCATTTCTCCCTTTGGGGTGGTAGATTAAATTTAAGATAAGAGTTATTTAGCTTTCTTATGGTTTTATGTATCAACAAAGAGGAGAATGGTTAAATTGATTGTTGGTAGCTCCGAGTGGCGGTAAAACTTGTCAACTTTTCACCAGTGATTGTTGACATTTATTGTTGTTGGTAGTGAGTGCTTTTGGTAGTGATTGTTGATGGTAGTGTGATTGCTGTTGGAAGTGATTGTTGTTGGTTGTGTGATTGTTGTTGGTTGTGTGATTGTTGCTGAAAGTGATTGTTGTTGGTTGTGTGATTGTTGCTGAAAGTGATTGTTGAAGGTAGTGATTATTGGTAGAAGTGATTGTTGGTAGTAGCGATTGTTGGTAGTGATTGTCGTTGGTATTGTTTGTTGATGGAAGTAAATATTATTGGTAGTTATTGTTAGTAGTGATTGTTGATGACATTGTTGATGGCAGTGATTGTTGATGGCGGTGATTGTTGATGGCAATGATTATTGATGGCAGTGATTGTTAGTAGCAGTAAAACTCCTAGCGTCTCTCTCAACTTCAATACTGTGTAGGATGGAAGGAACTACAGCACTAACATGTTAATCTTAGTAACATTCTTATCTAAAATAAGCTAGAAATGTGAATTTCTTCCGTATTTATTAAGAAAACATTATCGACGTTGAATCCAGCAGCTAATGTTTATTTTCAACATTGTGATGCGTTAGAAGTTAAGCCAAGAATGCTAGAAGGTGGAAAAGAGGTACTGGGGGACGAGGATAGACAGTGGATAAGTTGAATAAGCTGGATGAGGAGGCTATGGTAGCCAACTTGTTACGTGGAT